TGAATTCTCGAACTGTCCCAACATACCCAGGTTTTGACCCCCACTAAGGATCTCACTGATTGGTACATCAAAGACAGCCCAATCCGACACCTAGTGTAGTATCATAATCGAGTCTAGGGCTTATGTGGAGAGCCACTAGAGTTGTTGTATTGTAGTCAATGTGGGAGGAAAAAAATAATAGGATCTTCAAACGTAGTTGTAGATCCAAGGAAGAGGTTGTGGAAGGAGTAACCACTAAGGTTATCCATTGGTTGAAATCTTGTGATCTTTTTAAGGACTTCTCAGCTGAAGACATTTATAGAAAATGGGGTACTATGGCAGCTACAACTTCTTTCAAAGCTGTGGTACAGGAAGTTTGGTCCCCACCAATACAACAAAGGGTAAAACTGAACTTTGATGGAAGCTCTATAGGTAATTCGGGTCCATTTGGTATAGGAGGTGTCTTCAGTGATAACAAAGGCAAGATAATGGCTCTGCATTCAGGTCAGTTGGAATTGGACACTGCTTAAGAGCGGAAATCTTGGCACTATATCAAAGAGTAAAACTGGCCAAACAATTGGGGCTACAGGAGATTGAGATAGAGGGGGATTCCAAATTGGTAACGGGTGGAACTAGAACTTTAAAATTGAGTTGTTTGAACAAATTTTGATGCTATGAATCTTCTAACTTCACAATATTGTAAATAATGTCTCAAAATTGTTTTGTGATTAACATGGGACTGCAGCTCATCAAACACTTCTTCTTAAGTTGCAACGAGTCCATCAACTCAGACTACTACAAATAGAATATTATCACTCTTTAGATACAGAGTCCTTACTTTACTATGATATCTTCCTAAGATATGAGTCATTGTTTCTAGAGATTATTGATAGCAACTGAATCAACTACATGATCAACATTGTTAGACTAACTATCTCTAATCAAATGTCATAAGTTGGGCAAATAATCCCTGCCATAGATGATGAAAATACAAATTTATGTATGAATATCTTCCTAAAGCTCTACAGCATAAATAAATACATGCAACTTTCTCAAGGGTTTTAAGGCAATGAGAAATTGACAATATATAGAAGAAATACAATGTTCCTTTCACACAGGAAAGGAAAAGGCAAGAACAAAACCACTATCATTTGGGAAATGAGTATTCAGTACCAATAGGAGAATATGATAGGTTTTACCTTAATTAGATGCAATTTATCAAGACAAGAGGAAACTAATAAAAGTCATTTGGAAATCCATAAGCTGTGAGCAAAAAATCTCCAACCCCCCCCCCCCCACTTGAATCTCCACTTATCTAGGAGACCTTAATGTTAGATAGTGTATGCCCTTACCTCCAATCAGAATGATGTACCTTATGACATTTAATGTAAATGAATAAAGTACATATTTGATTCATGTTATTATGGTGTGTTTCTGTGTAATACCCTTAAATTGGACACATATGAGACTCGTGTTAGTTTAGAATCTTCACAGTCGTTGGATAGATCTAAGAGATTTATCCTACCAAGGCTGACACTGATGTGCCGCCAAGTTGGTTGGGGTGGCTTGTCTCAGCTGCCAGGGGGAGACTTGAGGTACATGCAGTGTGTGTTTTCTTAAACCCTGAACCGAACCAAAATTCCAGTATTGCCCTAGACCTTGGAGATAGATAGGCAAAACTGGAATGTTACACCTGACCCCTAGACTCGATTATGATACTACACTAGGTGTCGGATTGGGCTGTCTTTGATATGCCAATCAGTGAGATCCTTAAAGGGGGTCAAAACCTAAGTATGTTGGGACAGTCCGAGAATTCATCTGAGTGGGTGATCATA